TGGGGTCAAACTCATAAAAAGATTCTTTGTCTTTTTGGTGGGCATACTTTGCCTTTTATTTAACCAAATCATACTGATAATGTGACTGTGATAATTCAGTCATACGCTAAAGTTTCTACTTCAAAGATTGCTAGCTACCTTAATTTAAAAGTGTTCATCTACATGAATGTCTTTGAAATTTTTCTGAAACTAACCTAATTTCCCCCAAATAGTTGCGTGGTGCATTAAAACTTGTGATTCTACTGAGGTGAGGCCATTTCAGAGACTGTGCTATGGGAAGGTCTAATCCTGAATGGCCTAGACTATGAGTGGCCCTACTAGGGTATGTTCAGTGAAATAGTCTTCCTGTTATTTTATTGAGCAGGCCTGCTGAATGGAATTATCTGATTTTCAGCATTTGAGATTTAAAATGTCTGCCGAAGATGGCAGTGTTGTCATAGTTGATGAGTTCTTATTACGGACATTTTATACTAGAGCTAGTTTGTTTCTTAAAGCCATTCTGTAGCAATTGATAGGAAGACATTGGTTTTTCTATTTCCTGGGAACTTGTCTAGCATTTCTTAAGAGCATATAATATATTTTAGAATGAGTTTAAAAGGGCCTAAAACACAACCTCGATTATTACACCTTAAAATGCTTATTCCTTTTGAGAAACACTGAAATTTTGTCTTGCTGTGCAAATCATCCTTCTACCTAGAAGTACTTTGATAATGTTGAAATATTTTAAAAATTAATGTTTAAATATCATTTCAGATGTTTCCTTTTATTGTGTGTCATCACATAGTAAATCTAGCCTTCTAATTCAACTAATAAAAATCAATAAAATCAATATATTTGTGATTTTATTGAAAGAACTAATTCACTGCATTTATAATTTGAAATCTTGATTAGGCCTATCATCAGCTTAGGTTACTGGATTTGTTGAAAGTAAACCCATGGGATTCTAGAGTTTAGAGGGGGCTTTCAGGTCTGTTTCTATTAAGAAAGACTCAAAAGTTGTCAAAGGAAAATTCCTTGATGCTATATTGGCAGTTTCTAACTGTTAAATAATGAATGTGTTTTCGCATTTTCCCATGGTATAAATGGTAGGTATCTGGGACAGCACCCCTGAAATCCTGTACCCTAACCCCACTGACCCCTGCAAATGGAAATTCAGAAACAGATATAACCACAATTATAACAATACATATTTGGAGTTAGGAGCCTTGGATTCTACTGTTTATTCTGTCAGTTTGTACAATTCATTTGACTCTTCAGGCTCAGATTACTCATCTATAATATGATTGGATTGGGCAAGATTGTTTCCAAGGTTCCTTTAAGTTCTGCTGTCATGTAATTGGGATTTTCTGATTCCTGAATCACAGAGACTGGGCAGGAATTTGGGTGGCAAAGTAGTGTAGGTGGTCAAGCACTTCGTACTTAATCACCTTTCATATTTGCATGACTTAGTCACCAGTTAAAACTGAATAACTAAAAGTTATTGTATGTTCTAACAAAAATTTTTGGTCCTCTTACAGGAGAGCATTTTCAATTTTATAATAGAGGTAATTGAAAAAAAATCTTATTTAATAGGACTCATGCCCTTTTGACATCACTCCATCATTCTTTGAGCATTTTATTACTTTCTGGTGAAAAAAGATATTCCAGTTTATTTTATAATTTCCTTGTCCCAGTCTTGGAGCCAGCCATTTTCCTAAATAGTCCTGGTTCCTTTGAGCGAGGATAGGGTAGGCATGCTTTTTCATAATGGGATGTTGTTATTTCTCCCTCTTTTGGAGGGCAGAGATAGGAAATACATATATTTTTTAAAGTTGTATAATACCTGTAGTTCTAGTTCACCATTGCAGGGCTCTCTATCTCCTTCCCACCTTAAGTTCATATATTCCTTCTCCATTGATGATTCACAAAAATTTCTCTGTATTATCTGCTCAAAGTGACAATAAATACAAAATAGTTTCAGAATTTTTCACCAGCAACAAACCTACTACATACAATTATAGATTTCTTTGTAATTCTCTTTAAGAAAAATTATACTGAAGATGTACCTCCACATACTCTCTGTTATAAATTGTCTTGATACCATATTTTTCTTTTCCTCCCTTTTCTCTTGTACAGAGTAGATACTTAGTAAATGTTTGTTGAGAGGTAGTCTGTGCTCTTCTTTGAGCTATTCCTGTCCACAGTGCTTTCCTAAGTTAAATTTATTACCATTTCTCTAGAAGTCAAGTATAATTAATTTGCCAAAAGCATGATTGTTTTGAGCAAATAGTCATTATGAATAAATAAATAAAAAGATAACATATGATATATAACTTTATAATATATAATTTTATATAACAATATAGTATATTTATTGAAATCCTAGTACATAAATCCATATGTATTCAACTCATTTTATCTATATTTTCATGTAATCTTCAATCATTTATTGTTCATGTATCATTTTAAATTCACAGAACATAAGGTTCTTTTTTTTCTGGTCTCAATTTCAGCCAGTATTTCATATTAGGATCATTAGCTCATCTGAAATTGTGGGTTTTGACACACAGATCAGTGGAACAGAATAGAGAGCCCAGAAATAAACCCATGTCTCTATGGTCAATTAATATTCGACAAAGGCAGCAAAAGCATAAAATGGAGTAAAAATAACCTCTTCAACAAATGATGTTGGGAGATCTGGACAGCTACATGCAAAAAAATGAAATTCGACCACCACTTACACCATACACCAAAATAAACTCAAGATGGATAACGGATTTAAATATAATTTGCGACACCGTAAAAGTCCTAGAGGAGAGCATAGGCAGGAAACTGAGATATCCCACGCAGCAGTGTTTTCACTGATACGATCCCTAGAGCAAGGGATAGAAAGGAAAGAATAAACAAATGGAACTTCATCAAAATAAGAAGCTTCTTCATGGCTAAAGACAACATCAGCAAAATGAAAAGGGAACCCACTGTATGGGAAAATGTATTTACCAATGATAACTCGGACAAAGGTTTGATCTCCAAAATATGTAAAGAACTCACAGGACTCCACTGCAGGAAGACAACCAATCCAATTAAAAAATGGGCAAAGCACCTGAACAGACAGTCCTCCAAAGAGGAGATACAGAAGGCCCAGAGACATATGAAAGGATGCTCAGCGTCACTAGCCATCAGAGAAATTCAAAGTAAAACCACGAGATTCCACTTCACACCAGTCAGAATGGCTATCATAAACAAGTCAATAAATAACACGTGCTGGCGACGTTGTGGAGAAAAGGGAATCCTTGTACACTGTTGGTAGGAATGCAGACTGGTGCAGCCACTTGTGGAAGACAGTTTGGAATTTCCTCAAAAAGCTAAAAATGGAACTGCCTTTTGATTCAGCGATTCCACTACTGGGATTATACCCTAAGAATCCCAAAACACCAATTCAAAAGAACGTCTGCACCCCAATGTTTATAGCAGCACAATTTACAATAGCCAAGTGCTGGAAGCAACCTAAGTGCCCATCAGTAAATGAGTGGATTAAAAAACTATGGTACATTTACACAAAGGAACACTATGCAGCAGAAAGAAGGAACTCCTATCCTACCCTTCATGACATCATGGATGAAACTGGAGAGCATTATGCTAAGTGAAATAAGCAAGGCGGTGAAAGACAAATCACCATATGATCTCACCTTTAAGTGCAACCTAATCTACAAAACAAATAAGCAAGAAAAATATAACCAGTAACATTGAAAGAAAAAACAAACTGATAATAACCGGGGGAGGAGGGTAACGGGGAAAAGAAGGAGAAGGGTCAAGTCAAGGAACATGTGTAAAGGACCCATGAACAAAGTCAAAGTGGGGAGGGATTGAGGGAGGGCAGTGAGGGTGGGTAGGGTAGGTGATAGTGGTGGCAGGAAAATGGAGACAACTACATGAACAATAAAAGAATAAAACAAAAAAATTGTGGGTTTCAACTTTATTTTTCATTTTATGAATTAGAAGACATATTTTATGATATTTTGATGGTGTCATCAGAGACTCTAGGTATTTAAATTCTAGTTAAGCATTTAAAAAAAATCACAGACTGATAGAGCAGCCACTGTGGACTAGGTGCGGGGTAGCAGGTTCAGGAGAGGAAAGAAAGTAAGAGGGACGCTAATGTTGGTGGAGAGAAAGAGAAGGGACTAAATGTGTATTTGAACTTCAGACAATGAAATTTGAGAATTGTAGACTGGGGCAATTAAAGTTTTTAGTACCCAGTGTAAATAGGTTAGCTAGTCTTTTGTTAAAACTATTTTTTAAAAAAATGACTTTCCTTTAAAATAGCTGTTTTTTTAATTTTAGAAGTACGTTTTAGTCACCAAATTGATAGAAATATATATGTTCCTTGGTATTCTGTCTCAGTGATAAAGGGAAATGTTAATGTTGGTGCAGCCAATATTGTTCAGTCTAGTTCTTTAGGTGGTCTTCTGTTGGAAGAAGTAATAGATTAATTATGTGGTTTTACCTAATCATATATTAAAGAAAACAACCATTGTATTTTAAAGAAAATACAAGTTTGCAACATGTTGGCTTTCATTGAAATGATTACTGTAACTTTAAAATGGAAATATATTTGGAGAAAAGTGCAAGAGTCTTAAAGATTTTTAGAGGCATCAAAGTGTTTTAAAAGTTACCCTTTAAAAGTATTTTAAGGTATTTTTAAAAGAAAGCAAGATGTTAAAACTATTTTTCTTTTACTTTTATTGATTCATATATACACATATTAAACGTGTATGTGTTTTAGACCATATTACAATTAAGCATATTCTTCTCATCCTTTTCTTTATTATTTTCATATGGGACTATGTAAACTTTAATATCTAAGCAGGCCCTTCTAGAATATTTCATCATTCTAGCACTTTATATTTGCATAGTTTTATAAATATAATAAAGCCATGGCCAGAGGAGCTCAAATATTTTTATCAATGATTAAAAAGTTAAAATCCTTTTAAAGTAATTTTTTTGTGTTTTTATTACAGGTAAATTGGGATATTCACATTGTACAGAAACAGAGGTAAGAGAAATACTCAGATACTTCTTAGTAAAGTAGTTCTACTTTCCCATATAGACTAACCTTGAGTACTGAATTATGTCACTGTGGGTTTTGTGTTGAGAATGGGTATATAACTTTTATATTTAGGAAGAGTGAAATATGAAAAATATTAGTTATCTGTGTTTTTAAAACATCAGAATGTGTTATAAAGATTAGCTTAATCATAGTTTAAAATTCTTCTTATTTGTGAAATTGAGTTAGCTAAGATTAAGAGCCCTTAATTTGAAATAGTTTGTTTACTTTTTCTCATAATTCAATCTAGTGTGTCATAATAAAGAAATCATTTAAATGTGTTGGACTTCTATGGAGCTGCCTTGGTGTAGGAAAAAATAGGGACTTGGAAACTGTTTCTGTAAGATTAATAATGAATTAATTGCTTTGTTATTTATATAAGTAGGATTATTAGTATTTAATAATTTAAGTAATATAATTTAAAATTCTAATTGTGAAATATAAGGAAAGAAATTTCCACATGATTCTAGGTGTTCCTTGCAGGAATTTCAAGGATAACACCAAAATATGAGGGCAGGATCCATGAATTATGTATGTGTGGTATTTTTTTCAGGGGCTGTTAAATCATTCTTTCATGAGGAAGCTTAGGTCTTTTGTTAACAGCAGTGCATAATTAAGGATTTAAGAAGTTATTTTTCAAAAAACAGGGTTTTTTCCAATTTTATAATACATCTACATGTTGATGCAGGTGTTAGTAAATTTTAACAGTTACTTTAAAATGCAAGGTTCCTAACAGATTATATTGTATAATAAAGAAGCAAGAATAATTTACTATTTTATTTGTATTCAAAAGTTATATACTTCATTTTTTATATTTTCTATTCAACTTTGAAAGTAGAGAATCTTTTTTGCAAATTAGCTCTAAAAATATTCAAGAACTTAAAATTTCTATGTTGCAAGGATTTTTGATGTACTGTTCAATATGATATAAAGGAGTGGGATTTGATTTGACTCAAAAGATAGACATTCTATCTGTAGTTTCTGGTGTGCTTCTCTCTGGCTATGTAATTTTGAGCAAGTAAATTTTTTTCTTAGAACTTTTGCTTTCTTATCTATAAAATGTTAATGATAGTCCCTGTTAACCTCATGGCTTGTGAATTTTAAAGACATAATACATGTGGAAATGTTTTTAAACCCTAAAGACACTATTACATATAGCAAGATGATACAAATATAGTCAGTGTTCATTTGCAGTTAAGTAATGAAATATGAGGGGTTTACATAATACATAGTCATAAGTCTTATTATTCTGTCTTATTATGGCAGTACAGGCCATTAAATTGACAAGGTTTTAACATCTTCGTTAGTACTTGCTTTGAGTGTCATTTCATTTTATCTCTTAGCCCTTATCCTTTGATTGATAACTCTCTGCTCACCAAAGGAATTGGAATCTAAATAGAATTCTCTTCCAGATCTTTTTTTGTGTAACTATTTAAAGAAGGAAAATCACAAGAAAATAAACATTTCAATCTGATATTTAGTTTAAAAAATAGGTTCAGGGTATTTTCCAGGGGTAAATAGTGGTGGTTACCTCTGGGAGACCCTGGGATTGTGAATGGTGATTTATTTGTATTGTTAGGATGTTTTAAAAAAATGAGAATGCCTCTGTATATACTTTGGTAATTAAAATAATAAAACAGAAGGGCAGTAGAGACAGTGTGAACTTTTTCAAGAAGTTTAGTGACTTGAGAGAAGGAGGTGAGAGCTTAAGTAGGAAGTTTTGTTTCATTTCTTTTTTTAAGTTACAGAAGATGATATATTTGGTGGTGGTGGAGGTGGTAAGGGAACCAAGAAAGTGAGACTGGAGTCCAAATTAGATAGTGCATATTTGCTGAAACCAGACCTAGGACTGTGTCTGGAAGACAGCTTGACTAGAGCAGTGGTTCTCCAAGGGTTGTGGGAGGGCTCTAGGGGAAGGGGTGGTTTCTGACACCCTGTCAAGGCGAGGAGAAAACTATTTTCAAAGTAATACCAAGATATTATTTGCCTTTTTACTTTCATTGTCTCAGGTGTGTATAATGTTTTCACATGCTACATGACTGCGTGACTATGACTAATATCAGACTGCAGAAGCAGATATGAGATCCAGCCAGCTTTCATTAAGCATGACCTTCAAGAGTTTTGCAGAAATGTAAAATAGTATCACCCTTCTCACCATTTTTGTGAAAATGAGTTTTTCCATAAAATGTTACTGATTATTTCTAAATAATTTAAATACAAAATTTTTCAGTTTTAATTTCTAATGTAGTAAATGTTTATAGGTTATAGCTTACATAAATAAAAGCTCCCTGGACTCCTTAGTAATTTTTTAGAATGTAAAGGTGTCCTAAAAACTAAAATGTTTTGAGAACTGTTGGGCTGGGACACAGATAGCAAAGGTGCTTCTTCCTGAGAAACAGAATTGAGGGTTGAGTCCTGAGGTAGACAATGGGAAGTTGAAGGAAACTTTGATGTAAGGATGTAAGCAAATCTTTTTTTGTCAAGAAAAGGACAGGGTTATTTTTGATAGTGAGGTTATACTGTTTCAGAAAGGTGATTGCTAGAGCCTCTTTTTGCCCTTAAATTATTTTTCTATTGAGAAAAGACATTCCTAGTTCTTTTCATACATTAAAAGTCCCATCAAGCTCTTGCTGGCATTAAGTGCAGACCAAGAGAATGACTCGTTTAGTTGAGGAGAAGAAGTGAGAAGGATCCTTTATGAGATGGCATAGCACATTGCTACTACCACATGTAATGTAGGCTCAACCCAGCCTTTCAGAATTGGAAAGGGTGTTGCTGGGAGCAAGCGCGGGAGAGGGGTGTTTGTGCCTGGGCAAAACTTCATGCACTGCCCTTTTGTTCTAATTTCTGTGCCTTCAATCCCTCATCAGAAAGATGGGTTGTGGATTTAGAGCGTTAGGCATAAAGCTGGGCTTAATGAATGCAGCATATTACTTTTAGTTGGGAGGTATAGGGTTTCCTGGGAGGAAGAAATAGTCTTACGTCTTCAGTAAGGCTCACAAACCCAGTAGGAGTCTCAGAGTGACTGCTAGGGAAAACAGAATCCCTTCGTCTTCCTCAGTCTGTAGGGCCCTCATCAAGACGTGGTTGAAATATGTAACTTTAAGGTCAACTTTATTAGTTTTTGTAGTACATAAAAATCATGTTATGACTTATTTTCTAGTTTTACTTTTAATTTTCTCTTAATGCTTCCCATAAAAACCACACAAAATTATGACTTTAGAGAAAGCAAGGAGGTCACATATAGGCTTTGGATCAACTTTTTTAGAAGATTTTACTTATTTATTTTTAGAGAGAGGGAATGGGAGGGAGAGAGGGAGAAGAAACATTGATGTTTGTGAGAGATACATTGATTGGTTGCCTCTTGCATGCCCTGAACTGGGGAACCGGCTGGCAACCCAGTCATGTGCCCTGACTGAGAATTGAACTTGCGACCTTTGGGTTCACAGGCCAGCACTCAATCCACCGAGCCACACTAGCCAGGGCTGATGAACTTTCATGTGATCTTGTACCTCAAGATTAGCTTAATGTTTCTTAAAATCAAGTACAGTTGATCCTTGAATAACACGGGGTTTAGGGGTGCTAACCCGTTGCACAGTAAAAAATCCGTTATTTTTGACTCAGCAGTTGGCCCTTCACATCCATGGGTTTCTCATCCATGGATTCAACCAACTGTGGATCAAAAACAATGTTTTCCATGCACAGTTGGCAAACTGTGGCTGAGAAATGCAGTTAGGACCATGATTTTAAGACATGCAGTTTTTTTACTTTAATCGGTACTTTAATTTTTTCTTACAACTGTTTTTTGAAGGTGTAATTTACATTCAGTAAAATTTAATCTTTTCATTTACAATTGAGTTTTGACAATACATTAAGTTGTGTTAACCATCCTCACAATCAAGTTCTATCATCCTTCATCATACCCCTCTTTTCTTTGTAGTTATTCCCTCCTCTCCCACCAGTCCTTGACAAACACTGATTTATATATATTGTGCCCCTTTTGTTTAAACAGTGTGTTACCCTAACTTCTCCCTCTCTAAGAGTGGCTCAGACTGATATTTATAAACTCTGGAATGGGTGATCTGTATTTGTGGGTACTTGTGTGCCAAGGAAGCATTCCTGGTCCATAGTAAGGGAGAGCTTTTAGCCCCATTTTACAAGTTTTTCTTACTGCTTTTATTTAAATAGTTTTGTGGGTCATACTCTTAAAGTTGAAGAAAACTGCCAAGCACTTAAAAATAGTAAAACAAAGAATTTGAATCTTCAAGTATTTAATTGATGCTGTTTCATTGTTGTTTTTAGTTTCTAAATTCCATCACATTCTTGTCTTCTATTAACCACCATTAATTATGAAGCACTCAGAAGCCCTTTTCCTCTAGCAAAAAAGGTTAAATGAATAACTAAAACAACCTTGGTGTTCCCCTTGGTGGATTAGTTGTATTTTAAGTGAAGTAGGTTAAAGCATTATATAAAGTTAATTTTTTATCAATACTTTAATCTTGATAGAGCTAGTTTGTAAAAATAGTAGCATAGCAGAAATACTTAAGCTTTACTGAGGGAAATTATTAAAAACATTCATGTTCACATTTGAAAATAAATTTCACATATACTTTACATAAATACTTATCTTTTTCATTCTCACATGCATCGTTTTAAAAATAATTTTTTATTTTTCAATTACAGTGAATGTACAGTATTATATTAGCTTCAGGTGTACAACCCAGTAATTAGACACTTATATAACTTATGAAGTGATCACCCCCATAAATCTAATACCCATCTGACACCATGCATAGTTATTACAATATTATTGACTGTGTTCCCTGTGCTATACTTTACATCTCCATGACTATTCTGTAACTACCAGTTGTACTTCTTAATCCCTTCACCTTTTACACTTATTCCCTCAATCCCCCTCCAGTCTCGCAACCATCAAAATGTTCTCTCTA